TATATATATATTGTGTGTGTGTGTGTGTATATATATATATATATACATGTGTGTGTGTGTGTGTGTGTGTGTGTGTGTGTATGTAGGTATGTATGTATAAATATATATATATATGTATATATCAGCAGATAGTATTCTCGCTTTCTTTCCCTTTAGTTTATTATTACCCCTCATTCTTCTCTAAGCTTGCCCATTTGGACACTGCATGTGTGTATTCATACATATCTGGTGCTTGTCATATAAGAAGAAATCCATAGGTGTGTGTAGATCTACCCATTGCCTGTTGCCGTGTATCTCCCTCTCTAATTAATACCGAGTATTCTACCCTCATACATTCCTATAATACATAACAGACAGCAGTATCCCAGCACATACTTGGATTTCCTCACAGATAGAGACGAGCGGACTCCTGATCCAGGGGTGGACCGGTGAGTTGTGTCGTAAGTGTGTGTTGCTGGATAAAGTTCTGCGCAGGGGTTGGGTTAGCGGGCCATGGGTGATACAAATGATAGTAGCAAGGGTTTTAGGGTTTTTGAGTTTTTACGGTTTGTGCATATGGTAGTAGGAAATTATATCGTTCAAATACGTGGTATAGGCACCACCCCCTAGTCCAGGACATATTCATACGCCTCGCATTGTGCATAGTTTTGTGTTGTATTGGATGTGAAGCTATATCTGAGACTCTTTCCAGGAGACTCACCGATGCGAAACAACCATATATACGTTTATAAGCATTCCAGATAAAACAACCTTATACACGTTTATAAGCATTCTAGATAAAACAACTTTATATACGTTTATAAGCATTCTAGATAGAACAGTCTTATATACGTTTATAAGCATTCTAGATCCTGTCCAAGACTTCAACCACGGCTGTGCTTTCCAATACGTTCATAGATTACAATTCATTCAGTGAGGACAATCTTCGCGTGACCTCATCTTCTCCCTATCATTCGTAAAGAAAATTGATATCAACTCAATTGTCCACACTATTCATTATAGCATTCGTATAGGAAAATGATATCAACTCAATTGACCACATTCTCCATCATAACATTCGTATAGAGAAATGATATCAACTCAATTGTCCACACTCTCCATCATAACATTCGTATAGGAAAATGATATCGACTCAATTGTCCACACTCTCCATCATAACATTCGTATAGGAAAATGATATCAACTCAATTGTCCACACTCTCCATCATAACATTCGTATAGGAAAATGATAGCAACTCAATTGTCCACCTTCTCCATCATAACATTCGTATAGGAAAATGATAGCAACTCAATTGTCCACCTTCTCCATCATAACATTCGTATAGGAAATTGATAGCAACTCAATTGTCCACCTTCTCCATCATACCAGCCATCCTCTCAATAAGGAGCGCTACGGTGACACCGACGCCCACTGGCACGCACAAGAAAGCTATCTTACACCCACCAACAGCAGCAACACACTCGTGGCTATTGACATGGACAAGTTCTGTCTCAAGCTGCCGTTTAAGTACGATTTCGGATTGTTGGTGCAACAGGTGAGTAGTCTCTGTAGTGATAAAATATCAATAGGGATATCATTATAAACGTATATATGTATATGTATATGT